TGGTAACAAGATCTCACAAATTACTAAAAAATGCTTGAAGTCTTGCCAAAGTGGTCACAGTTTGCACACAGTTTAGGTGTTGTAAAGGTTGTGATTGCTGATAGAATATTGCGCTTCCCGTTTTAAAAAAATTCTGACGAAGAATTTAAAATCAAATCATTTGACTCTTTGATCTTCTTCTCCTTGAAATTTTTTTCATTTTAATTAAGACATCATTGGCTTCCTGTGGTTGATTGGTCCAAATACATTATTAGGGCCAAGAGAACTTGCAGGTGCTGTGGATCTTATTAATCACTTCAAGTTGTTGCCTCATCACGAGTTCTTCTGCAAGAAGCCTCTTCCATTGTCAATTTCAGATACACGCTACCTTCACAATGTTGTAGGAGACAGAGAGATTAGGAAAGGGGAAGGGATGCAGTTGGATCAGCTTATATGTGATACGTCGTCTTTAAAAGAGACAAATTCACGCATCCAACCATTTGAGTTAGATGCTCTTAATGAAGCTTTTCAACTACGTGAAGCAGCTCCAATTGTTCTGCCTCCGGTGAGAAACCTATTGTGTGAAGCTTGAGTTATATAAGTATGTCTGATTCAGCTCTTTAAGTAACCCTTTTATTCCTTTGTGATCTCTGAAGATGGCGGCGCGGAACTGCATTTTTTTCTCTAACCCTGTGCTTTTCTATAATGCCAGTTTGCCTGTTCCACTAATTCCTGATTTGGTGTTTCATAGTCTGAAAAAGGGATCCCCACTGTAGCTGGAAAGTCTAAAAGTGAGTCGAAAGACAAGGAGAAGAAGCATAAGAAGCACAAGGATAAAGACAAGGAGAAGGACAAAGAGCATAAGAAGCACAAACACCGTCATAAAGATCGAAGTAAAGATAAGGATAAAGAGAAAAAGAAAGATAAAACTGGCCATCATGATTCTGGTGCTGACCATTCAACGAAACATCATGAAAAGGTCTGCTACTAGCAAATGTTAATAAAATTATTTAACTTATCAAAAAAGAACTAGCAAATTTAAGAGTTATGCAAATCCGGTGATTCTCCTGGCATGCCATATACTGTGAATATCATGTGGTTGTTTCATATTTAAGAAGTTTATAAGACTGGTTCACAGTAAAGCCACTTAATAATAGGCCCAATGGTGTCGTTACTGAAAATGGCATTACTTAGTAACTGACAGAAATATTTTTAATAGTCCCACTTAGAATCTTGCTATCCGTTTCTCTTGCTTCCATGAACTTCCACTACATCATTTGTGATGTAGCTTATAAGTTGCATTTATAGGATTCAAGTAGAATAGAGTTCAGGATAAAAAAGTTTTAATTTTGGGAAATATCTAGCTCAAGAGTTTTGTTGAATCAATTGTTGCTTGACCTTCAGTTTTCAGTTACTGTGTCAAAAGATAGCCATTGACTTAGTTCAATAAGGTATATACATCGTCATTTCCATGACTAGCCTTTTGCTTGTAACAGTAGCTTCAAGTTCTAGTTTGTTTGATTGCTCTCATCTTTTACTGTGTATGCTATGTACTGAATTTACGAGAAGTTTGATTCTGTAATTTTTCTCGTCGTACTGTATGCTATGTACTGTTATAATGAGAGGTTGACATTGTTTTCTTTCTCTATGTAACAATTATGGGTAATTTTTCTTGTTTGATTTGATGTCTTGGCCTAGAGGAGCTTAACTATTGAGCTGGCTTGTTGGGATCACTCTTGCTGTAAAAAGTTCATCACAGAGTTGACACTTTTAGGACTTCAGCAAATAGCTATAATGTATTGAATGTGTTTATGCTTTTGTTTGACCTCACTGATTATGATCTTTCTGATGATATCAGAGAAAGATGCATGATGGCAAGGAGGATCTTAATGATGTTAACAAACACAAGAGAAACAAGGTAAGATAATATTGCATTCAATATAATCTGTGCAAATGTTAGGTTCGTTTCTGAGATCATTATATGGGCAGTTTTTTCAGTATATTAAGACCATACCTTCACCTTATACTAATGGTAATATTCTTACATGCTGAAATGTTGCAGCACAAGAGCTAAAAGATTGATGAAATTGGGGCAATAAAGGTTACAGGCTGAAATGTCACATGTGCTGCTATAAGTTACTGTCCTCCTGTGCTGCAGTTAAGAATTTGGATGGATCCTTTTCTTATTGTAAAATATCCAAGGTACAGAAGTTCTTATCCTACTATCTCCCACACATTGAATAACTTCATGAGTCTTTCCATCCATGCCACCTATTATACAAGGTCTAAATCCTATTTGATTCTGGAAAAAAAGAAAGACTAATTATTGACGTCAAAAGCTGTTTGCAGCCTGTTTTGTAGCCATTAGGTGCCCATGAGGTTCATATATATGACTTTAAAGTATTTCAGTTTGTGGATTTTGAACATTTGCATTTGTTGGATAAAAAGCAGATTCCTAATTATGGGCTTTTAGTGTCGCTTGTGATTTTATCTGTGTCCGACTGTCTGTTGGTATATATTCTGTTGCTGAATGGAAGGGTTGCTGAGACTATTAAAAAAAAAAAAAGTAGAAGAGTTAGTAGACTTTTTTAATACACGAGTTATTTGGCATTGCATTCTGTTGTTATCATCTATTTTTGGTGTTTTCAACCAAGAGCACAGTGCACATCATAGTTTCTGTTACCTTTTGTGTTGCATAATGTTTCTGTTTCTCTTTTCCATGCAGAATAGGTTCTGGACCAACTAAAGAATTCCAAGAGGGTGAATGCACCTGTTGAAAGTAGATTTTAGTGAAATGTACATAGTGCTGAAAAACAACCTCATTGTATCTATTATACTAAGAGCTTGTTTGGCATTGTTGCTAAAAACTGTTTATTTTCATAAGCACTTTTTTTTTTTGGTAACTAAAAGATGTTATTTACCAAATGGAAAATGTACAGCTCAAGGAAAGGAACAAAAACAAAACTCTAGCTGGGAAGGACATATTGCTCCTAGCCCAGAAGTACCTAGCATCCCCTGTTCTCTTCTCTAATAATTCTTCCCGAGCTAGCTAGCATGGGTAGTTATCAAACTATGTTATATACGTAGCTATCTTGGGATACATAGTATCTCTATAATAGATCTCCCGAATGTTTACTTTTCTCTGCAACATTTTGGAAGATACGATGGTTTTGCTCTTGCCATACATGGTAAATAGTTGTAGCCAATGTCATTTTATACAATACTCCTTCCTTTGCAGTGTTCAATCGCCCAAGCGAGTTCTCCTTGCCAATCAAGACTGTCTGGGCATCTTTCCCTACTAATAGCTTGTTCCACAGGTGACCAGTGACATTACATCGACAAATCAAGTGTTGGTTGGTTTCATCTTCCAAGAGACAAATGGGACAAACTGAGCTTGTGTCTATGCCTCATATACGCAAGCAATCTCGTGTGAGGCAGTCGATCATATGTTGCCATTTTGAGAGTAAAGATCGTCTGTTCAGCTCCTTTGTTCCTGCATACAATTTTTTATACCAAGGCACCTTATAAACTGGTCCTATTATGGACTGATAGATAAGCCTTAATGGAGATCTGTTCCATCTATTGCACAGTTTCAAGTTCATGGTCAGCTTCTTCAAAGTAGTGCTTAGCCTTGAGAATTTGCTGGATCATCCAGGAAGCATTTTTAGCGCTAGTGTTTCATACGCTTTCGTCCTTTATATAATAGGGTATTAGTCCAAAGCACCCATAATTTATCTTTTTGGACGGCAAGTATAAATGTTATATATGCTCTAGTTTTTTGACTGCAGGGGAAACAATGTCCTAAAAGTATGACGGAGGGTATTTGTATACCATTTATGATAGTTCGGAGGTATATTTGTCCTGAAAGAAGGACATAGTAGGCAGGTCTGAGTTTTTAAGGATGTAGGAATATGTATTGTATGAGGAATTCTCGTTGCTAAGGCTGGAGTTTTTTTGTTGTTGTAGACTCTAGGCTAAAATGAAATCAAGTTATTCTTTCAGATAGAGTAATACTTGAAGTTTGTGTGCTTCAAGACTTTATTCAGCTAATAATTGTTAATGTATCATTAGTGATAAACATGTAAAATTTTGGCACTTGTTATAATATTTTGAGTTGACATTGATGAGGTTTTCTATTTAAGTTAAAAGATGGCAATGGGACAGGTCAAGGGCGAGGCATGGCAAAGGCTTAATGGGACAAGGTGGGGCAATACTTAAATGGGTTGGGCAAGGTAGGTCTTAGCTAACATTTTTAAATTTTTAACAGGGCCAGTAGCAGAGCCCGAATTACGTTTAAGGGGTATCAAAATATAAAGAAATAAAATCGTGTAAAAGTCAAGGAGTATCAATGTGTAATATATATACATAACAAAAATATTTTTATTCTAATTACACAATGTAATTTTCCGATGAAGGAGTGTCGGTCGACACCACTTGGCTCCTTGGGCAGGGCACGACAGGTGTGGGTTCATGAGAGGTTCCTTAGTGTTTTGAACAGTCTGTAGCTAGCTACCATAGATCAGGTTGATTCCAATGAAATATTTGCAATTAATTTATCACACTTTATGGAAGTAAGTACACTTAAAATTCAAATGAATATTTATCACACCTTGTATAACTAAGAAAGGTCAGAGACTCATCATCATGTTTTAAAAACTAAATAGAACATAAAAAAATAAAAAATATAAATTAATACTTAAATAAGGGGTGAGTTAAATTTAACGCGTCAAAACTTTACTTCGCTCTAATCCGCATCGCCATCCTTATATGTAAGACATATTTTCAAACAAATACATGAACATAACTCTTTTGCAACCATATTGTATATCAATCATCTTTGACTTGGCTAGTATTATAATTGGGAACATGTTTTGCAATTATTGTGTGGGGCACATTAATTATCAAAAGGAAAAGTAATTGGGAAACATGTTTTGCATTATTATGTGGGAGCACATTAGCAAAAGGAAATAGAGAAAATGATAATTGATGAGATAAGCATATGTAGTCATGGAAATACATCATCAAATAATCCACATCCTTTTATTTTTCACATCATTTCTATGAGCAAAAAAATACAATAGGTGAACATTGAAAATAATAGAAAGTAATTATCAACTTAGGTCATTAGGCAAAGCCTTAAAGGCCATCATGATTTCAAACTCAAACTCACAAATCGAAATTGTGACAATAAATTGATATTGCTTATGCAAAATCTTGCATACCTCACTCACTTGTACCAAATCTTGGTACATATAAGACAACACTAGCTTGAAGAACATATAGTTATTGAATACACACTAAAGCTTTACGACGCATTAATCAATTTAGCAATAAACTCATTAATGTTTCTATCTGAACTTCCACCTTCATCCATGGCCTTTTTTGTCACTTCTCTCCATTTGGTTGCATTCTTTCTAATCTCTTTGCCTCTTTCTCCTTCCATAACTTCTTTTATGCAATGTTCCACAACTTCTTGTTTAACAACCCCCTTTTCATTAGCTTGTGCCTTTATTCCCATCTCCCAAACATCCATCACATACTTAGCATTTGTACATTGATCAGTCCATATTGGAATTGCCACCATTGGAACTCCCAAACTCAAGGCCTCTAAAGTAGAATTCCATCCACAATGTGTCATAAAACAACCAATTGCTTTGTGTGATAACACATCTAGTTGTGGACACCAAGTTACAACTAGCCCCTTTTCCTTAGTGATGTTTTCTAAAAAATCTTTTGGAATTTTAGGCTCTTCTGATTCTCTAACTACCCACAAGAAGTTGTGATTGCTTTTCTTCAATCCACAAGCTATCTCCTTCATTTGCTCTTCTTTCAATTCAGCCATACTTCCAAATGAGACATACACAACTGATCCATCATCACAATCACTTAGCCATTTCATGCAAACATCAGTTTTAGGTGTGTACATACTTAAACCATATGAATTATCATTCTCAAGTCTCTTGTCCACATACATGGATGGTATGGTTGGTCCAATAGTCCTCAATGACAATCTCTTTGTTATCCAATCCACTTCCTATTCATAATTGAAAAAAATAATAATCATATAAATGAACTATGAAGTGGTCCATGTAAGTTAAATAAGACTTGTGTTAAGCAAACAGAGTAGCAAGAATCGATTTTCTCTATGTGACAAAAACCCTATACACCACCAAAAAGTAAAGAACCCGTAGTCATGGCATGTGCTATAATGCACAAAAACCCTCTACCCTCACCAATTAAAATAGTAAAGCACATGTGGTGTTTGCTTGTGACACATAGGGCTTTGGGAATTGGGATCCTTCAAAAAATGTCAATGGAGTGTGTGCTAAATCCTCCAAAAGTTATTGATTTTTCGAGGATCTGACATAAGTGCAAGTACATTTCTAAAGGATCTGAACAACATAGTTTCTTACCATTGCACCGAGGCTCCCTTTCAAGTAGTTAAGGAATAAATAAATAATAAAAAAAGATCAAGAGTGTGAATACAAACATGTTTCTCCAATTCATATATGGTGTTGCAAAGGATCCAATCAGCTTCTTGGATATTAGAGAATTGATCAACAAGCATCTTCAAGAATGGTGGATATGACCCCAAATCATTAACAAAAGATGGCAAGTCAGAGGGAACTAATGGTGGTAATCCAGGGAGCAAAACTTGATGTCCTTCAACAGGAAGCTTTAGTTCCTTTAGTTGGATATGATAAAAAATGTTTTCAACAGCACATGACATAGTGAAGAAAACACAACTTACTAGTCCAAACATTTTTGCAACATCAAGAATCCAAGGCATGAATGAGTCATAAATGACACAATTTATAGGATTTCCTTTGTTTTTCAACTTTTCAATGAGTTGAATGATAGCTTGTGATCCAACTTTTTGATAACTTTCTAAGTAGGTTTCAATGGACTTAGCACAAAAAAGTCCATTCACATCATCATATCCATCAGAAATTGGCTCAATTGTGATGGAACTTGTCAATTCTTGCATGCTTTTCTTGAATATGTGAATGGTAGGAACAAGTGTGATTTCTATGCCTTTGTGTTGTAATCTTTTGGAGAATTGAAGCATTGGATTTATATGGCCTTGTGTTGGAAATGGTATTACCAAACAATGAATTTTGTTGTGAGCTAAGTTCATTTTTTCTTTGATATGCTCACAATTGAATGTTGAAGTCCTCTTTCTTTGTTATCTATATATACAGATATTGAGGCAAGATGAAATATAGTCCCTACCGTTCAATTGAATGCAGTATTTTCTTAAACGAGGGTAAATTTATACGTGAAAATGACTGATAGATCAAAATATTTAAAAGTATTCATTTAATTTTTCTAAGAGTATTTGCATCACGTAAAACAAGGGAGAAAAGAGTATTAATTTAATATTAATAATTGCCAAAGTTCTGAACCTAAAGTACAATAAATTTAATGATCAAAACACAAATAACAGCCATCAGATTTGGAAACTGTTTCTCTCTTATGGTATCATAGGAATTGAATTTATATATGCAACATGTTTTATTTTATTTTTGTTTTTTTGTTTGACTTTGCAACCCAAGTGCTATTTTAATATTCCTTTTTTTTTTTTTAAACTAGACTTCTTCACATGCTAAATTTAATTGATGGTCTCATCCAATTATATAGAGCCAACTTTTTTTTTTTTAATAAACATAAAAATTCCTCGTGAACTTGGCAGCAAATTTCATTATATAATTGATGATCTCATCCAATTATATAACTTCACAAGGCGTTTACTTATCCCTTAATCTAGTATATAATGAATTAAATACCATTCAAATAGCTGACGTGACAAATAAAAAAATTAGATGCTTAAAATAGGTGTAATTTTTTTTTAAAAAAGGGCCCCTTTTCCATTCTTCTTCTTCCTCACACCCATCCACCCACTCCCCCTACCCCCATCTGTTCTTATTCCTTTTTTTTAAAACCCTACCTTTTTCATTCCATCTTCTTCCACACAAACACCCACCGGCACTATTTTTAAAACGGGTGTAAAAATGGTGTATTTATTGTGATTGAATAGTTTCATGGGGTAATAGGACTCCCGCAAAATTTATGTGTGTATTTGAAAAAAGAGTCTAAGTTAAGGGGGCACTTTATGTATTTTCTCTTCAATATAGTGTCAAAAGTGTGTTTCTACACCTACACCATTAATTCTAGGGGTGTCAATAAGACGATTCGATCGGTTATTTTTTTTTAAAAATATATCATTCCAAATTTTTGGGTATTTTATAATGTATAATCGAAATTAGATTTTTAAACCATCTTAATCATATCGATTCTCTTTGGTATCGGTATTGTACTATTAATTTTTGATTTTTTACTTTTAAAATATCATTTCAAAATATATTATTATTAAAATATTTCTTTCGCAAATATGTTCTTGAAGAAACACTTCAATTCTTCATCAAGAAGTCAAGAATGCAAAACTTTGTTGTCGTACGGTTTGATCTTAAACATTTAATAGGAGTGTTTGATTTTTCCGTATTATTTGATGGAGTATCTATTATAATGTCTTTTAGTTTTAAATCAAATCAATTAAAGGCTAATTAAAGAGTAAGAACCAAGGTCGTCCAGTTACCAGACGTCTAGGACCTAGCTTATATTTTTATTTGAAATGAAAAAATGTTACTCCCTCCGTCTTAATTTATATGGCACTTTTCGGATTTTGAGATTCAAATAAGTCTATCTTTGATCGAAAATTTTTCATATATATTTTAATTATTTTGAATTGACAATTATTGTGACTTATAGTACTTTTTACGTAATGTTTATTTATTGTGATTTGAAATAGTTTCATGGGGTAATAAAACGCCCGCAAAGTTAAGATGTCTTCTTGAAAATTCGGGACACATTCAGGCGTCACTTTATGTATTTTCTCTATTTAAAAATGTGTCGTTCTTTTTTGAATTGACTAGAAAGGAAAATGAATCATATAAATTGAGACAAGGGGAGTATCACCTAATTCCAACTCTATTTTCACGATAATGATTTTTTCACTTAATACTTCAATCCCATCATTTTGCCCAACCTATAAGATGCATTATCACCTAATTCCCAATTTTCAAATAAACCCAATTGTCAAAAGCTCTCTTCTTCTAACATCGGCATAAGACTTTTGTCGACTTTGAGCCGTTTTCAACCTTTCACGAATGAGACGAACCTTTTTCATAGCCTCATGTACCAACTCGGGCCCTATCAAAGCAACCTCACCAAATTCAACCCAACCAATAGGAGACGTAAACCTCCTATCATGAAGAGCCTCAAATGGAGCCATCCCAATTCTAGAATGATAGCTATTATTATAAGTAAATTCTATTAGAAACAAATGATCATCCCAGTTACCCTTAAAATCAATTACGCAAGCTCTTAACATATCTTATAAGGTTAGGATAGTATGCTCGACTTGTCCATTAGTTTGAGGGTGGAAAGTCGTGCTAAGTTTAACTTGAGTACCAAGACCTTTATGAGTCGATTTCCAAAACTGAGACATAAAATGAGTACCACGATCGGAGATAATGAACAAGGGAACTCCATGTACGGATATAAACCTTGGCATACTCCTCAGTGGCGTAGCCAGGAATTTCATGAAGGGTGTCCAAACTTTTAATAGTAATTTTTTTTTAAAAAACGATGATTTAAATTGCCAAAACAAATAATCAAGTTAAGCAATATTTAATCAAATATAAGAATATTTTTAATAGAATTGCAAGTGTATAATTCAAAACTACAAAATAAACTACTATTGAAAACATAATTTAAATATATTATTACAATTGTACTCGACGAGGTTTCATATCCTGAAACATTTTTATAACTGGAGTTCTTTTTGCTAGATCAACTTCTAGAGTATTTAAATTAATGCTTTGTTTTTGTGACAACATCTCTAATTGATCTACCGTTGTTTCTTTATTAGGTTGATTTAGAGATGTCGAACTTTTTTTTTGTACTCTATTATAATAATTCCTCATGTCCATTGAAACATGAAACTAAAATATTAAGTTGATTATTTTTGTTATAAAATAAGAGAAAGAGAAGAAAAAATAGAGAGAGAATTATTGGGATTCTATTCTTAATAATATTGTGATATAATTTGGGTAAATGAGTCTCAAATTTATAGAGAAAGAAAACCTTATTCCACAAAGAAAAAGAATTAAAATTTAAGGAAATCTTATTCCACAAGGAAAAGGTATTAAAATTTAAGAAAATAATTCAATTTTAATTGAAAAAAATCCACAAGGAAAAAGTATTAAATTTAAGGAAATCTTATTCCACAAGGAAAATGTATTAAAATTTAAGTAAATAATTCAATTTTAATTGGAAAAAATAATAATTAGTGGAAGTAAGATTCGAACTTGGGTCCCTGAAGCCAATCATGACACAGTTAACCACCAAGCTACTGAACATTTATGTTAAAAGTACGCATGTTTATTAACTTGATTAAATTCAAGAAGTCAAAATAATTACAGCAGAAAAATAATGCACTCCTGCGGGGATCAAACCGGGGCAGAGAATAGGTTCGCGACGGCTATTGCCAACTCCACTACGCATTACTTTGTTATTTCAGGGTGTCCAAATTTTATATATACCAATATAAAGTCAAAACTTTACGTGTATATATAGTATTATTTTTCAATGAAGGGTGTCCAATGGAGCCTATATGGCTCCGCCCCTGATACTCCTCAGCTGAAAACGAAGTTTTTACGGGAAGAAAGTGAGCCAATTTCATCATTCGGTCCACAATAACCCAAATCGAGTCAAACTGACTACGAGTACGAGGTAGACTAGTAATGAAGTCCATATTAAAATCTTCACACTTCCATTTAGGAATGCTAATGTCTTGAGACAAAGCATCGGCCTTTTGATGCTCGACCTTCAGTTGTTGACAATTCGAATATTTCGCAATATCCTTTTGCTATCTCATTTCAATTTGCTAGAACGAAAGCTAAAATAAAATTGAGGGAGAATTTATGAAGGAAAAAAAAGAAATAGAGAAAATAAACAAATAAAGAAATATATGAGAAAAAGAAGAAGAAGAGAAGTATATAAAATAAAAAATGAGTTTGAATTATTATTATGGTGTAAAAAGAAAATAATGCAGTAAAATAAAATTAACGGTAAAAAGATACAAAAAAAAGGTGCCCTATAAATAGTTGGAGTTTCAAGATTCTTTGTTTCTCATGGTGTTCTTATTTCATCTGGTTCAAGAAAACAATTTTTTCTGAGCTCTATATTGTTCGATTTGTTCTCTTTCACAATTTCATTTTATGTCTTCTTCAAATGGATAATTCTTTTGTGCAGTTGTGAAATAAAATTGCGGTTTATGTAAAAGATTCGGTGAGAATTGGAAATCAGATTCTCATAATTGAAGAGTAGATTCTCAACGGTGACGACCATATGATCAAAGGTCTTGAATCGATGATACATTATCACCAAGAGTTGAAACGTGAGATACAAATTAACTGTGTAGAATTAGCAAAGCAATTCCACAAAGATCAAATATTAACAAGTTTTTTTTCTGGGAAAATGATCCCTTCATTTTTTTTTCTTTTTTCTTTTTATGTTCAGCTCCTTAAATCTTCAAGTTCTTCAATGTTTTATGTGAAATTTGAACTGTTACTCCTATACGATCTAATTGATCATACCTGTTACTAATTGAAATGTTGATATTAAAATTATGTTCTTGAACTTTTAGTTTTGGCTGAACTCATTACTGCAACATTTAAATATTATTGTTCTTGTTTACACATTTAGATCAGCGGGATGTCCATCACCAAAAGCTACAAAGAGTTCATGGAAAAATCACCACTGAGACGTCACATAATTTCAAGAATTCGATCCAAGTTGAATTATAATCCTGAGCGCCTTAGTATCTTCATGAATGTATACATGAACATGACAGTTCTTGTGGATGTCCCGTCCGATTGTACCATCCAAGGGCTCAAAGATAAAGTACTACATACACAAGGGATTCCCCATACTATACAGATCATTCTGTATTTCAAAGAACGTCGTTTAACACATAATGATAGCACATTAGTGGACTGTGGCATCGTCCACGCTTCGAACATTTATGTCACCAGCTGAGTGTTGCATACTTATCTGTCAACATTGCCAGTTCAACGGAAGATGTCAACAAGTTTGTTCCAAATTTGTTTCTGCAAC